CAACTCAAAAACGATAGTATATACTATTAAAACACATTAATTTTGAACAAGAACCAGACATAAACAAACGAAAAATCAAGGAATCCATCTTAATTGAACAAAACAATCCTACTCTAAACCAACACCCTGGGGTGCCAAAATATCTCTTCTAAGTCTTACAACAGTATCCAGTCATGTGACCTCTTTGTTCCATACTATATATACATATCCATGTCAGTGTAAATTACTTGTACCTGATGATGACAAAACCTTGTTCATTTGCTGTTATCTTATACTTATATTAAAGTTGTTCTTCATTACCCATTACAAGCGGTCTCCAAGCATTATCAGGAAAGGATTGTTGGTTTTGTATACTATAGTTACCCAGTGGTAACAGTGAAGTAGGGTAGAAGCTGCTTAAGTTGTTGACATTATTTATGACTTGCTCAGCTGCATAAGTTATATCTATATAAAAATAATCTCTACATAAGTAATTCACATCAATTATTTTAAGTTTGGATGTACTAACGCTGTGCTAAAGACAGCAAGCAAGAGATATTTGAATGATAAGGTGAAACACAGATGAATGATAGTTTTGATCAAACATCCATGACTGTAGTTTATTAGATTGTTTTGTAGTTGTGGAAATATTAACACAGGGACAGTGGTGGTGCCAGTAATGTTAAGGATAGTAGTGTTGCTAGTAAAGTTAACATAAGGATAGTAGTGGTGCCAGTAATGTTAACATAAGGATAGTAGTGTTGCTAGTAAAGTTAACATAAGGATAGTAGTGTTGCTAGTAAAATGTTAACTTTACTAGCAACACTACTATCCCTATGTTAACATTACTGGCACCACTACTATCCTTATGTTAACTTTACTAGCAACACTACTATCCTTATGTTAACATTACTGGCACCACTACTATCCTTATGTTAACATTACTGGCACCACTACTATCTTTATGTTAACTTTACTAGCAACACTACTATCCTTATGTTAACAAAGATAGTAGTGTTGCTAGTAAAGTTAACATAAAGATAGTAGTGTTGCTAGTAAAGTTAACATAAGGATAGTAGTAGTGCTAGTAATGTTAACATAAAGATAGTAGTGGTGCCATTAATGTTAACATAGGGATAGTAGTGGTGCCAGTAATGTTAACATAAGAATAGCAGTGGTGCCAGTAATGTTAACATAGGGATGGTACGGGTGCTAGTAAAGTTCAGTGTTTCATTGGGTGAAAACAACAGCTCCATTCATGTTAAAAGGTTCCTTTTTTGAAGATGTGTTAGGAAGAAATGAGATCATTTGAGGAAGACTAAATAAATCGGCACATTTTGGTCAACATTATCACCAAAATTGAGAAACCGCTTTTAAAGATGAAGTACAGAGTAGACTGATGCAAACAATAAGTGGTGTGAAAAATTTCTGAAAGACAACTGGATGCCAAAAGTTTCTTCAGAAGTTTCTCTATGCAACATGACCTGTGCTAACCCCAGTCTTACAAGCATCCTTTTCTGTGCATTCACAAGGTTTTACTGAGTTACATTCAAATTTTAATTAAACAACTTTTCTATCAAAGTATTCAATGAAACTAGCATTATAGTGTACATTATAATTCAGTGTATTATATTATCAAAATTTTCATTCATTTATTTGAAAAGAAACTTTAAAAATTTCTTAATCTTGAGTTTTGTTGTTCCACAAGCATTTATTATTCTTAACTTTAGATTTCTATAACTTAAGTAATCCTTTACATATACTA